ATCCGGCTGATATTTTTTCCTGTTAGAGGAGGTAACCTGCTTAACTGTGCATATGACATCTGTTCACCTCAACGATAAATGCATTTCTTAGAATTTATAAACCCCTACTCTTTAATAACTCTGATTTGTCCCAGCAACATTTCTGCTCATGTGACTGGGATAACCAGAGACTCACAGCAGCTCTGTTTTGAGGCCTTTTTCCTTCTGCTTAATGGACGGCTCTCTGCTGTGCTCTGTGCAAGAGGAAATGCTGTGACACTGTTGTCTGGATGTTCTTCTATGTGTCTGAGGAAATATAGGTAGCACTCCAAATACATGATTACAATTTCAAACATGTGAATGTGTAATGAATGTACAGTGGTCCCTCGCTGTAACGCGGTTCACCTTTCGTGGCCTCGCTGTTTCGCAGATTTATTTTGTGTGCAATTAAAAAAAAAAACAAAAAACAGCGCATTGTGTTCTGCGTCCTGATTGGCTGTAGACCATTGTCAATCAATCTCCTCCGTGTCTCCGGTCAGTACAGAATGCGTTCAGCTGGTCAAATTTACATAAATCTTCGATGGCTAGCAGTGTGACTCTGAAGTGCTGTACCAGGGCTGTTCGATATATCGATATATATCCGATGACGATATGAAAACGTCTATCGTTTCATTTTACACTATCGTTTATTTCATGGTGTCGCAAGATAAACTGTTTACGGCAATATGTTTTTCATCGTTTTGATGGTCACTATAGAATTCATTTCTCAAAGTACTCTGTTCTTTCTCTTATATTTAATATAACCACACTGCGGACGGACCAGCGACTGCTTTTATGCGTTGTTGTTAGCAACAACGACGGTTTGCTTGCTTATTATGCACATAGACCTTTCACAATAAAGCTGAAGATTCTTTTGAGATTTTTCAAAATAACCTGAATCACGTGTAATTGTACGCAGAGTGTTTACAGATGAGAAGCTGAAAAGAGCCGTCAGGTGCTAAAAAAAAGAAACCTTAGAACAGGCTTTTCCCCGCAGCACGTAATAAATACTTCATGCTGCGGGGAAAACACTGGACTCCAGGTACACGACGCCCAGATGAAAACACTTCACGCAAGTCGAGCTGCCTGAGATTCACAGAATTTACAGAATTTACGATAAATGTCTTTTATCGGGATATGAGATTTTGGTCATATCGCACAGCCTGTATGTTTGTTTTCTCCCCAACAAACACAACAATGTCGATGAAATGTTTTGCACCGTCAAAGGCACCTGCGGTAGCACCCAAAAGGGAGGGGAAGATGCCATCGCACAAAAAGTTGGACTAAAGGAAGGTAGCAATTACCATATTTTTCAGATTATAATTAAGCAAAACAAAACAGTCAGATAAGTCAAACTTTACTCAACTCGTTCTTCTTGCTTCCTCTACTTCTGTACCATTGATTCATTAATGTTGAATTCTCTCACAGCTGCTCTATTACGATGTTCTGGACCTGAAAACAAGGTTTGATCTTTGGTTTCATTCTATAATACTGGACTTCTTTTTCTACGAAGGTTTGAAATTTGAGAGTTTCAACAAGAGAGAAAAGTGTGAAAATGTTCACGCCTGTCTCTGGAAAGTGTATAAAGTGTGTAGTGAGGAGTTTTACAGCCGTAAAACATCGATAATAATTGTAAAAAAATAAATAAAAAGCTGGCTACTTCACGGATTTCACCTGTCGCGAGTTATTTTTGGAACGTAACCGCAATAAACGAGGGATCGCTGTAAACATACGCTGTGCTTCTGATTGCCCCAGAAGCACCAAACAGGCTCTGCTGGAAACATGTGGCCGTGCTGAATCCAACAATCTATATGTGACTTTAAGGTATAGTCAGTGTTTCACATTAAAGAGTGTGTGATGTGGTCCGAGTAACATACACGGGTGCAAAAAGGTTGCATTTATCAAACGAGCCACGCCCTGACATTTAAAGGAACAGTGTGTAAAATCTAGATATCAGCAGATCACACAGTGCAGTCAGCTGAGTTCTGTTTTCACCATCTCCTGGTTCATGTGGAAAGTCATAGCTATGGATTTAGACTTAGACATCGTACTGTTGCTTGCACAATGAAATTAGGTAGCAAGACCACAAAGATGCAAAAGTAAAGAAAATAATATACAAGTAAGAAAAGTAAGAACACTATGTACAGTATATACACGATGTTGGGTTACAGGAAGCATGGGGTGTGTTCCAGGCATCATAATGAAATATAATAAATAATAAATAAGGGCAGAATGGCTGTGGTCGTTAAGGATATGTTGAGGGATGGAAATTGCACATCTGCCGAAATATTGCACAGAACAAAATGTTGCACGAAAGAAAGACAAAGAAACATAATAAATAGCAAATAGCAGCAACAGAATGATTGTATGATTGAATGGTGGAGATCAGCTCACACTCTTAATTTGCATTCAGCTATGGATCGTCCGCTGTAGGACAAACAACTCTGGCTTGTGGTCAGCTGTCCAGAAGGATCGCATGTCTAATCTGTTGACATTAAGTACAATATAAGAAATAAATAAGGATGTTTATGCACATTTCTGTGCATTAGAGCCCTGACTTTGCTCAGGAAGAGGCTGACATTTTATCCAGATGCCGGTTACTGCTGGATGATAAAACATAGTAGTTATGACGAGTGATGGGAATAATGGCGTTACTTTTTTCAGTAACGAGTAATCTAATTATTATTCCTATCGTTACAAGGCCGTTACCGTTACTAACAAGAAAATGCGGTCGCATTACTATTTTTTAACAAACAGATGGTTGAAGCTGTGTTCAGCTTACCGCAGCTTATATCAGCTGCACGGAAGTAGCTGTAAGTAATCTGGGCGCTGCAGCTTTAAGCAGCTGCGCGCAGACGGCAATCACTTTCTGACAGATGATCACTTTTTGGTACAACACCTGGAGCTCAGGGGTTAAACAATCACATGACCACTTTAAGATGACAAAGCAACAAGGTGATATATACCAGTGTTTTAATTGTGTTGATCGGCCACGTAAAACCAGAGTCATGATAAACAATATACACGTCTGTTTTTCCTCAATAGTTTCGTCACGTTTAACATCGAAGGACAACGCTAACAAGCACTCTCTGCTTATGAGCAAAAAAGAAACAAAACAAAAACATCCTGACATTTAGTTGTTTAGGAAGAGGGGCAAGTTTCAGGAGTGACGGCGAGAGAGAGATTCTTTAAAGTAACGCTTTAAATGGTTACTTTTCCTAGTAATTAATTACTTTTAGAATCTCGTAACTCAGTAACTTCTTTCAAGAAGTAACTATAATTAACTACCTTTTCAAAGTAACTTGCCCAACACCGGTTATGACCCTTCACATCTTGAGTCTGATGGTGCACAAATTATTCGCCTCCTCGACACGTGAATGCCTTTAAGTCCTCTTCTCTGCCTTTGTTTACTGATTCTGCTCTTTAGCCACACACATAAAACATGATTAAGGACAATCAGTTCAGCTTGTATTCAAATGACCGGGCAACATGGCGGCTTCCACAAACCAGCGCCTGCTGTAATGTATTATGGATTTATTTTAACTATCAGAATGCAGTTTGTTGGAAGCTGTAATGATGTATACACTGACTGACTACAATATCGTTTCTATTAAAGCCCCCAAACAAGATGGTTTAGTCAGCTCATGTCTCATTATTAAAAAAAATAAAGATTTTGCTTTATGTGCAATAAAAATACAAGTTTACCAATTTGGAGTTTGGATGTGATAATGGACGTGTCTGATTTGGAACATGTGTTTCACCGACAGGCTTAAACTAATCTCAATATTTGACAGCAGCTTCACATGAAAAGCTTCTCATTAAAAGAAAATATATTTGGCAGCTAAAAGAAAAGAAGGGGATGCAGTGCAGCTTGTTGGAGGAACGCGCGATAATAGTGTTCTGCTAAATTTGCTGGTGATCATATCTATAATATTGATTTCTATATGTGCCGACATAAAGCAAATCTCAATAAATTTACTTTTTCAACTTTCTTGCAATTTCCACAATCTCTACAAATAAAACCAGTGGAGACAAATAAAACCAGTGGAGACAAATAAAACCAGTGGGTGTGACTAATAAAGCCCAGAGGGAAAGAAACTCCATGTGACTGTTGCTACATATGGCAAAATGCTTCACAATGAAAGCACTATGAAGAAAAGAACTGAGACATAATAATCACTTATTTATAAACAGTTACATGACTGTAGCATCAAAGAGGGACGTGTGGGACAAGCTATGGATTCTTGTTGGTCCATGTTTATTTCGTTTGTTTACAAACTTTGGCCCTTCTAACGGTTCAGCTGCAGCTCCTCCTCACCGTCGTTTTGTTACACTTTTGTTAATTTAGTTTAGTTTTATTTAATTAATACACTCTTTGGGTCTCTGTACTCCAACATCCTCGCCACACAGCAGTGGCTTCAGTTTGCTGTGTCTTTAGTTTCTTCTTCATCAGGCCTGAAGTGAGTCTCTGTGAATTTATCTCGTGAAGCGGTAAAAGCATGTGTGTGTGTGTGTGTGTGTGTGTGTGTGTGTAGCTGCACGTGCAGGAGGAACAGCGAGTACAGCAGGCAGCGTGACAGTGCTCAGCCGTCCCTTTTACTGCTCCTAAAATTCTGCTAAATTCATGGCATTCCTTCTCTTTACCTGCTGAGACAACAGCCTGTCTGAATCATTTGTTCAGCTTCTATTTTTCACTTCTTACCTCAAATTATTTGAACTGGTAGCTAAAAAAAAAGTGTGTTGCTGCAGCTCTTAATCTTTCATTAATCATCCATGCCTACAGCTCTGCTTTCATCTGTTGTCCCTGCCACACCATTAATCTTACCTTTCCTTTCATGTTTACATCAAAAATGGACACACACACACACACACACACACACACACACACACACACACACACACACACACACACACACACACCCAAAGGCAGATGTACACTCCATCACATTTTGTTTACCACACACACCACCCCTCTGTCTCACCCTTTCTCATCTCCCTCAGACGAGTTGCTATCCTGCTTGTTGGACATTGGCTCCATTCGGCCTCAGTCCCATCCAGCAGCCAATCACAGGACAGCGAGGCAGACGCTGAGCTCACCAGCCTGCTCAGCGTTCACTGGCAGCCCGCTCAGTAGCTAACCATCCCAGACTGTAGGCAGCGGTTGGCTGGGAGGAGCACAGTGGGCGGAGCAGAAAGCTGGAAGGGCAGAGAAACGATGCAGTGAGAAACAGGCAGTCACATGATGTGGATCATAAAATATTTCACTACATTTTTAATTCACAGCGTTACATAATGACAGATGCGATTGTGATATTTCAGGTTCTTCTTTTGTTTCCAAACCACATTTTTTCATTTGTTTTCAGCGCTGGATGTTCATCCAATCATGTGAATGAAAGGCTGGATTAAAAAAATTTATTATTTTTTCAATATCAAAGTCACAGTTATTTAAGGTAGCTGTAGTATTAATGTCTGTAGCGCTTAGCTAATTCTATCTATAATCCAAAGTAATTCAAATCAAAATAATTAACTGTGACTGCAGCAGATCGCACAGGTTGGCCCGGCTGCTGAAGGTCTGCAAATAACTGACATCTACATTAATAAACATAAACAGAGGCAGCAAGCTGTAATCAGTCTGAGCCGATGAGCACAGCACGTCTAAGACGAGTGGCTCAAACCTTTGTATCATGCTTATATTCCCATATGAACGCAAGCTTGCCGTGTGCCCACATTTAATGCCAGCTTGTGTATGCAGACAGCGATAGATTTGAATCCGATTTGTGATTTTCACACAGATTCCCACAAAGCGTTGTGTTAGATTTACGCATTTTTACCCCTTGAATCAGGAAAGTCTGAGAAGAAATGAGGATAAAATGTGATTTTTGGCAGGACACACACACAAGCATGCGAGACTGTGGGAGGAAAGTATCCCGAGAGAACTCGGGCAGTCACATGCAAACTGCAGCTCCACGCAGAAAGGCCCGGCCTGTGGATTCAAACCCAGACACTCGCTGCGGTGAGGCGACACTGCTAACCTCTACGCCGCACAAAAATACTTATAATAAGAATTCTTTTTCCCATAGTATTATTATGATTATTATTATTATGTAACAACAATAATCTTCCCGTGAACAGGCTTCCGATGTAACGTTTGACTTTATTGATCAGACCCTCCGACCCAGTTTGTGCTTTAATTGCTTCATCACATTTTCAGGGGTGGTTTCATGATGGCTTCTCTTGACTCCTGTCACGTCTGTTTTTTGTAACTCAAATTCCAGGATGTGTATAAAAAAAATTAAAAAAAACAAAACAGAACACTGGTGAAAACTTTGCAGACCTCCACACCTGCATCGACTCGTGTGACAAAACGAGGTTTCAGGACAGTTACGAATGCGTCCTCACTGTTGCCGCCTTCACAGTCGAGGCAGGACTCGACTGTGAAGGCAGCCGCAGGTACTGCATCACTGGTTTTGGCGTACGTCGTAGCATGGGCGCAAGAGTCGAGTGAATGATGATGTAAAGGGTACTTGGTTCCAGAACAACGATGTAATGGGACCGCTGGCCAACGGGGGAGCTAGGAGGGAGGGGCAGTGGTACTTGGGGAGGGTGCAGATTACTGCGGCCTAATCTGAAAACGTTCTGAGGCCGACTTCAGACTTCAGGGATTGTTTGCTCTTATAAAAACAACATCTGTGTTCTCACTACTATGTTAACGGCAGAAATCCTGCTTCTATTAGAGGAAACCGACTCCAGCCAAATCTAATTTACTACAAGCTACTTACAAGTCCTCTGAAAGGACCGAAGGCTAAATTGCCCCCTCACACAGCTACATTTAAACCCTGTTGAGCAAGAGCAGCAAACGAAACTTTCTCTACTTGTCTGCAGTTTTTACACTTTTTATCAGACTTCTTATGTACACCATAAAGTGTGCGATCCTTGTTATAGCTTGTTAAAATCCTCACAGCTAAAAGACAGATCTGGATAATACAGATTTACAGTTTGTGGATCTCAGGCAGGATAAGAAAGGCTTTCATGCTCTGAACACATCAAATATCAACAACTGTTATTTCAGCAGCAATGCAGCAATTCAATGTTGTAAACACAAACTTGGTAATATTCTCAAATATGGTTGGTTTGCAGAAACCTAACAGCCATTTCATACATGTAACTTGCTTTACAGCAACACTGGTCCAGGGTTCAAATCCCTCGGCCGGCCGGGGCCAGTCTGGTCTGTGTGGGGTCTCTCTGGGCACCTCGGCTGCCCCCACAGCCCAAAGATATATATGTTAGGTTTGCTGGAGAGTCTAAATTTTGCCATGTGTGAATCACTGCGAGCATGAATGAATAGGTCTCTTTGTGAGCTCTGTGACAGACTGGCACGCTGTCCAGGGCGTACCCAGCCCCAAACGACCCTGAACTGGATAAGTGGATCCATCACATACACCCATATCAGAGTCTGAAACCAGTTAAGCATAAGTGAGCAACTGTGAGCATGTGGATTCCCCCAGGCATAAGTGTTGAATCCGATGCTATACGCCCTCTTCACATATGACTGGGTGACTTCCCAGACCAGACTTCCCTTTATACACTCAGCAGATGACACTACAGTCATTGTGCTGATCGCTGACGGCGAGGTGATAGAAAACACAAGAGCAGTGGCAGGAGTGGTGTCAGCAAAATGATCTCTCCCTAAATGCAGGTAAGACCAGAGGAGGACACAGCAGCATACTTCAACATTCATAGATGAAAACTGTTAAAATAATCAGGATCTCACCAGATTTCACAACACCAAAGAGCTGTGAAGAAATCACAGCCATCTCACCTTCAAGTCAAATCAACCACAGCAACCTCAGATTTGACATGTCGACTAAAATCCTCGACAACTTTCACAGATTCACAGTTCACAGCATCATCAGGCTCTCAATTAGTCTGCAGTTCAGGTTCACAAGGTCAGGTCTGTACAACTCATTTCTACGTTTTTGTTGCTAAAATGAGAAAGGTGTGAGGGGACGAGCAAAATGTTTTATCGTGCATTTGAAAAAACAAACAAACTACAACGGAGCCTTTCATAACGTTTTGGTCTCATGATGTCTGATGATGCCGTGAGCACTTCTATTGATGTCTATGGACAACCCTGCATTTTCTAAGATGATGCTAAAGTTGGAGCCGGTGCATTGTAATGTGTACTGAAAGCATCCAAGTGAAGAACAGGAAGCAGAGCCTTCAGCTGTCGAACCGACTCGATTCAGGAAACTTAAGACTTCGAACTTTCCTTTTTGACAAACTCAGTCGTGCACCATGTGATCAGGAACCATCAGGAACCATCAGGAACCAGGCTCCTGGGACCGCTGCTCCACTCCCGTCTTTACACTCCCTTTGTGTTTACAGGACTGTACTGCATGAGCCATGTTCTTCCAAAGTCTCACAAAAACAATGCCCTCTCAGTTTTATTCATTATTAACTGAGTCATGTTTCAGCAGCTGCAGGGTTCAGCACGGATTAGTATGTCAACACTGTGGACACTTGCCAGGGATTAAAATATTACCGTCTGCTAATAGTTTGGTGCTACAGTCATGATCCTTTTGGACAGTGACTGTTCCTTTCAAAGCTGGCAGCTCACTGAGGCTTTTGAACTCAACTATAAAAACTAGAATACACCTTTAATCCAGCTGATTATACAGACACACGTAACTATGTATGACTACAACCACAAACCCCTCACAGCCCACCATCCGTCAGTGCATGCTTACAGTATTACTGTGTGGGGAGCAGAAGGGCCAGATGAGGGCACCAGAGTCACTGCAGCACTGCTGTTCTGGTTGTGTAACCTGAGCTGACCTGCGTCCGGCACAGAGACTCTGTGTTGTCACATGCAGCAAGTCTAATGAGAACTTCTGAAGTGTGACTTTAAAGATTGAGTTAGATGTGAAGAAAACCGAGGTCTGAATACACACTCATGAATTGATGCCTAAATTCATCACAGTGTTAGAGCTCAGACCCTTAAAATGCTAAACAATCACGTTTTAATGACACAGGGGTTATATGGATTTTGATAAGATTGTAAACAAACCTTAATAGAACTGCATTAAAAAGAAATGAGCGACAATTTTCCCTCTTTTTAATTGGAAAATAACACAGAGATCGTCTGTGAAGGTTCTCAGTCAGCCAGCTCATGGTAATCTCAGCAGGCTGGAAAGAAGAAGGGCTGGAAGCTTCCTGAAGACCTTCTGAAGCTTCTTGGATGAGAGGTGAACGTCTTCATGAAACTTTCCATTCGCTTTTCTTTCCAAGCTCCTTAGACTGACTTCAAGAACAGTTATTGTCATGATTAGAATCTGTTTAAGAATTCACTAAAGAATTTATTTTTTCTACTCCAGATTAATATCAGAAGGTAACAGTTTGCTCAGACTCGTTTCTTCAAAAGTCTCTGATCAATCGAACAACAATCCAAAAGCAAAACTTGCAATAAAGAGAAAACAGTCCACTGTAGATCAGTGCGTCATATAAAAGCACCATCAAAATTATTTAACTTCACTGATTTGTCCATCACACAGGCCTAGAAACCAATTCACGGGGGGGGGGGGGGGGGGGGGGTCATTTCTGTGAGGGCACAAATATAACAGGAACAGAAGAGATTATTACCTGATCTGCAGCTTTTCATTATTGGAATCAATATAAGCAGTAAAACTTTGAGATTTGGTAGTCAAAGGAGCTTTCAAAGAAAAGCGTCTGGACTTCTTTTCTTTGCAAGCTCCTTTGACTACGATGACCTGGATGACTGAGAACCTTCACAGACATACTGCCGTACATTTTGGGAGGAACACCCTTCAACTGGTGCGGGAGTATGAAAGGGAATCAAGGAAACTAGCGTCTATCTCCGTTTCAACCTAAGATGTGGACAAAGCAGAGTCCACTGTCAGGGGATACAGAGCAGACTTGATTCTACAGAGAGGACAAAATCACCTTTGAAGTGAAAGGATAAGACAGGTCCATTTCACTATGGATGCCCTCCAGATCAAGATCAGCCAGACTCTGGCTGGAAACCCTTCTACCCTCTCCAATCTTAGAAGAGGTTTACAAGTTTGTGGACAAGGCTCAGCGGGCCCAACACTAAAGGAAATTAAAGAAGTCCAGACGCTTTTCTTTGCAAGCTCCTTTGACTACGATGACCTGGATGACTGAGAACCTTCACAGACATT